TTTAGCTATTCCTCTGCCTCCTTTATCGGTAATGGTACATTAGAGAAACAGGCAGGAAGGTACTTGGTGTGTCATCTGGACAGAGAATGGATGATAAGGAAACCTGGTGGTGGAGTAGTGAAGTGCTGGAAGCTATTCAAAGAAAGAGGTTAGCCAAGAAGAAATATGACAGTGAGAGGACTGAAGAGAGGAGACAGGAATATAAGGTATCTCTTGTAAATGAGTCCTCGTGACTCATTGAGACCAACCAGGATAAATAAAGGTTGAATGAAAATAAGAAGATGAAATGCAGAGCAAAGAGGGAGGTAGCAATGGCAAAGCAGAAAGCATATGAGTTGTATGGGAGGCTGGACACTAAAAAAAGACAAGGAGGACATGTACCAATTCGCCAGACAGAGGGATCAGGCTGGAAAGGATGTGCAGCAGGTTAGGCTTGTTAAAGATTGAAATCGTAGTGTTCTAACAAGTGAAGAGAGTATGATGCGAAGATGGAAGGAGTACTTTGAGGAGCTAATGAATGAAGAGAATGAAAGAGAAAGAAGAGTAGAGGTCATAGAAACTGTGGACCAGGAAGTGGGAAAGATTAGTGAAGGTAAAGTCTGGAAAGTTCTGAAAAAATGAAGAAGGGGAAGGCAGTAGGACCTGATGACATACCAGTGGAGGTTTGGAAATGTCTTGGGAGAGATGGCAGTGAGGTTTTTGACTCAAATACTCAATGGCATATTTGAGGGTGAGAAAATGCCTGAGGAATAGAAAAGAAGTGTACTGGTGTCCATTTTTAAGAACAAGGGTGATGTACAGAGTTGTAGCAACTACAGGGGGAATTAAGCTGATGAGTTATGCAATGAAGATCTGGGAGAGAGTTGTGGAAGCTAGAATTAGACGAGAGGTGACTATCTGTGAGCAGCAGTATGGTTTCATGCCAAGAAAGAGCACCACAGATGCCATCTTTGCTTTGAGAATGCTGATGGAGAAGTACAGAGAGGGTCAGAAAGAACTCCATTGTGTCTTTGTGAATTTAGAAAAAGCATATGACAGGGTGCCGAGGGAGGAGGTGTGGTATTGCATGAGGAAATCTGGAGTGGCAGAGAAGTATGTTAGACTGGTACAAGACATGTATGAGGACAGCAGGACACTGGTGAGATGTGCTGTAGGAGTGACAGATAGCTTCAAGGTAGAGGTGGGATTGCATCAAGGATCTGCTCTGAGCCCCTTCTTGTTTGCTCTGGTGATGGACAGACAAACGGATGAGGTCAGACATGAATCCCCGTGAACTATGATGTTTTCAGATGACATTGTGATCTGTGGTGAGAACAGAGAACAGGCGGAAGAGAACTTATGGCCTTTTTCCATTTGTAACAGTACAGCACAGTTCGACTCGATACAGTTCCAAGGCTTTTCCGCTAGCAATTATTCGTGGAACTGGCCTGTTTTTCAGGACCTATTTCTCTGGGCTTCCAAGTGTACTGTGCTGGCCTTAAAACGTAACGTCAGAACACTATCAGTCACTGATTGGTCAGGGGGTGGAGTCACTGGTTGTTTGAGAAACTTTCACAACAACACGATCCGCTATTTGCAATAACTCAACTCAAGGAGCGACCGGATCTATTTTTAAGATTTTAAAAACAATAATGACAACACCATGATCTAAAGCTGAAGTGCAGGAGTTTTTTGTGTTTGGTGGCTGACAAAATTCAGAGCGAGCTAGATGGAGCTCTGCCGGTCCCCCCAGCCCTCTCCACCGGAGCCTCGGAGCCCCCTCAGGCCGGGGAGCGCATCACCTCCCTGGCTCCGAGCCCCGTCGGTCACTGTGGAGGATTTGCCGTGCTGCCGACGCACAGGAGCACGCAAGGCTTGGGCTCGGGCTCCAGCCTTGCGCTCATGAGGGCTCCGAGCTCCACTGGTCACTGCCGATGACCATACGAGCTGCTGACCCGCAGGAGCACGCGAGGCCGGACCCAAAGCCCAGGCAGGCAGGGGCAGACCGGGACGGGTCTGGGACAGAGTGAAAACGATTTTTAAAAACATTTTATGTATTAGAATAAAGATTTTTTTTTTTTTTTTTTTAATTGATGAAGATTAAAAAATTTATAAACGGTGCCAGCTTTATCATGAAATCCTGTTTTCACTTTAATGACTTTATTACATAATCTGTTAAAGTTAACTCAGCTGAAAAAAAAAAAAATAAAAATTATTGGATCTCTCAGGAATATTTCCCTCAGATATATTTAAAAAAGAGCTACAGCCTTTAGTTCAACTTTATTCTAACACACAGATGTACAAACCACAAAACAAGAACTTGTAAAGCAAAACTAAAACAAAAAAATCTGAACAAGAAACAAAAGCACATATTTAAACCCAACAATAAAAGTAGACAATGAGTGCAAATACATCAAATGATGAAGAAAAAGGTAAACGATTTTAAATATAGACGTTTTTATAGAATCTGCTTCATCAGAGATGTAATGGTGAACTAAACTTCATTAAAAGTTCATTAAGAGG